CACGTACCTCCACAGTCCCAAGGATTTCCTCCAAAAGCACTATCTTTTTTTTTTTTTCTTTCTTTCTTTCTCAGAGGTGAATCTAAGAGAACTGACACTGCACCCTCCACAGAGAGGACAGGCAAACCGAGATGGTTACGCCAGTTATCGTTACGGGTGGCCGTCATCAGCCAGTCCTTTTATCTATGATCTTTTGCAGCCCGCAGACATCTGCGGACCTGGTGTTTCTTGTTCTTCCCTTTTGGATTTCCTTCCCCACTCCAGTTCTCATTAAGTCAACAAACTTACCGATGCTTTAAAAAGAAAACCCTTTGCCAGCTGGGAAATATTTGGACATAATATTCAAATTATCAGACAGGGGAAAAAAATACCATCAGACTGATATCAGGCCTGGCATAGATCAGCTGAGCCATGCAGCAACATCCATGAGCATGAGGTCATGGTTCAATAACACAGGCAGCAACACTGGCTCCGACAGTCCCCTATTCAGCCTGATACGATTTGTTCCCTTCGCTCCGCTCTGCCTCTGGCAACCCGCGATATGTTAGTTGTGCCAGCTTGTGCTTTTCTGGGTCTGCACCACGGATGTCCCTCCAAAAAGAGTTATCGTTAACCCAGATCATTTCAGCAATACGGTTTACTACACAGCCCCACAAAACAAGGTGACAGCAAACTGCAGGACAGGGACAGAAGCTTTTTGGACTGTGTTGCACCAGCACCAAGATCTCACCCTGCTACAACTGCTCCAAAAGATGCGTGCTGTGATGAGACGCCATCAGTATTCACCTTTATGCCGCAGGCAGGTAACTGCCAGCTCAGCTCCCACCTCCCTGCTGGCAGGCAGATGCCGGGGGATGGGTCAGTGTGAGTAAGGCTGTTTGCCAAAGACACACCAACAGAGCCCGGGGCTGGGGCCAGGTCCGGCAGCAAAGCACGGCAAAAATCCACCCTCAAGTGCTAGGAATTGCGCGTCAATTAGTTTTGCCACAGTTCAGTCACAACCACGCATCTGAAGGAGATGGCAACAAAGGACATTTCAGAGTGACACAGTAACTCTGCAGCCGCAGAATACACAACACAGTCCCGCAGAATACACAACACAGTCCAGTTATTCACAGAGCCTGGATTGCAAGTTCTTTTAAGACATTAATTAGCTGTTACAATTACACTGAATATTCAGGAAGGCCGATATGCATCCTTAAAGTATGGCATTTTATTTCCCTTCTCCTCTCCCAGCTGGCTCTATTTCCTGGTGGCAAAGCCTCAGCTCCAGTGAAGATACAGAAGGTGAGTCTCAAAGGAGGGGAAGCTCTTCTGTGGTCTTAATTCCTCCAATGACTGGTGGTCCCCCAGCCCTCCCAGCAGACAGGACAGGCTGATGGAGCTCCGGATGCTCCCTGGCAATTACACCCAAGGAATTCCTCAGTACCATGCCTCTGCCCTCCCGCCCGCACCCCCAAACAGCCCAGCGCCTGGCACTGCCGCTCAGGGGACACACTCCCGATTCTGCTTTCCAAAATGCACGTGCCAAGCCTGGCGGCAGACTCTTTTGGATCTCTTATTTCAATTTACATCGTGCAATGGTGAAATAATGGCATTGTACATCAGAAGCATGCAACTGAGCCAGGCTAAGAAGCCATCCTTCTTAAGGAATAATTAAAGATTTCTGGCAAGGGGCAGAGTGAGGAGTGCCAGCACAGTCCTCGAGCATCTCCTCAATGACTTAGACCCAACTTTGCACCTTGTTTTCCAACAGGGGAGGGAAAAAAAGAAATTGGTGATGGATTAGGTGACGTTTCAAAGGGATGCTATTTTCAGAAAAATACTCCGATACTCACAACTTCTCTCCAAACACATTTTGTCAAGGCTGCCAGCCTTGGTATTTATAGACCATGAGGAAATCAAACATACAACTACACACAAGACTACGATCGAAGAACAGAGGAAGTAATTTGCTGTGGAACAACTTTCTGCACCCAGTAAAGTTTTTCTAAGGCTAAAAAGAAAGGAAAACGCCTCTGTGAAATTAAAATATTACAAGAGGTACAAAAGAAAATGTTTCCCCAAGCTACAGAAGCTGCAAGTAGCCAAGAAAGCCTTTTATTTCCAATGTTAAAGATGAAGATGTCTAATCCAGAAGTGAAGAAATATCAAAACAATGTCACTGAAGTTTGAAAGCAAAGCAAGAGAGAACCATTTCGGCTCTTACGGGTCTCAGGCTGCAGGTTTTCACTTAAAAAAAGGGATGTGAGTGCTTTTCAGCTGTATGATGCTTTTATAAACATGTATGAGAAACAATGAGGAGAATTTCTAACATACCCTCATTACTATCCTGGCCTTGCCTGTCTCAAAGGACTTCACGAGTGTGTTCCCAACTAGGGAGTGCTGGGAGAGACTTTCACACCACCAACGCCCTGCTGGGATAGGAAAATGGATTCCACCTCCAGCAGCATTTCCAAAATTAATACCACATACCAGCGACAACACCAAACTCTTGTGGTACCGACTGTTTTAAAAAACAAAACATGAGAACCACCGTTATTACTCCTAGCAGCTCATGACCACTGCATTACCCGGCCTTCACCAGCCTCCAGCACACTCCAGGCCACATCCTGCCTCCACCTAAGCCTTTATTTACAGCCCAAAATCCCATTCAGCCCATCGCTGGGGATTACTATCAACTAACACACTCCCAGCGACAGCTCTGGTCACCTTTCTCTGCAGCCCAGCATGAATCCAACCCATTTTTTGTCCAGCCCTTTTAAAAACAAAAGCATTCTGAGACACTTTCCACAGAAACACATACAACATGCTGTGAAAGAAGCCTTAATTTTGACTACAGCTCGGCCACGTAGCCGGAACCTTCCTCACAGCCCCTAGCCTCGGACAATCCCATCAGGGGTGACCCCCAAAATGCACACACACACTCATCCTGACGGGCCCCACAGGAGGAACCCCCGTCTGCTCTATCCCAGGCGGCCCCTAGGAAGGACACACCCCCACCCCGGTACTCTCCGCTGTCCCGGACAGCCCCACGGGAAGACCCCTCCCCATCCCGGGGGACCCTCAGGAGACCCCCGCCCCGCTCCTCTCTCACGACAGGAAGTGAACCCCCCCCTTTTATCCCAGGGGACACCCCAGAAACACCCTCTCCCCGTTTCCCTGTCCCAGGCGACCGTACAGGAGACCCTGCCCCATCCCTGTAGGCCGGAAGCCACCCCTGCTCCGTTCCTGTACTCCGTGAGACCTACGGGAGCCGCCCCCGCGGCCCCACGC